TGCCAGTTCAGGCAGTTTTATCCTGGAGCCTTGGGAGGTCTGCCTCTTCTATCTGATCTTTTGTTTTCAGAGAATTCTTGATCTTTCATTTTCTTGAGAAAACAAAGCTGTTCTGTTGTTCATCTGGCGCCGCTACAAGTCTCCTGCTCTGTCCTCTCCCTCAGCCTCTGCAAGCCTTATTTCGTGGGTCTGGGCCAGCAAACTCCTGATGCTCATCCTTGAACTGAAGCGCTTCCGTCTGGGTCTGGGTTCGCCTGTTAATAACATGGTAGACTCACCTGACCCCTTTCCCTTTCGTCTGAGCAGCAGTGAACCTTGGCTTTCGGAGCCTGAGTTGGAGCTCTAGTCCTGACGCCTCTTGGGGGGCAGGAAGGGTGCAGAGGCTGTGGGAACGGGCCACCTGTTTTCACTCTCTCCCCAGGCTGTCCCCCCCATCTGCAGAGTCCCCTGTGCTGTGGTGTGGGTGACCCCACGCAGGACTTCCCTTGAATTTTCAACTCTTCCTCCCTTCCCCCCACTTCAGGGCAAACAGCTCCCTTCGAAGAGGGCCTGGCTCGGCGTCATTTCCCGACTCACGGCCCTTCTTAGGGGGTTCATATAAGCTTTCAGTCAAGAGGTTCGAGTGGCTCCTAAGATATACTTTTTCTTCTCTTCTTCAGCCTTTCTCAGGTTAGGCCCCCCTCCCTATTAGAAAGCTGGGCAGTGGGGGGGTGCAGGGGAATGAAGCAGAAACAGCTCCTGCCCAGCCCCACCCCTGCTTCCAGGGGAGGCCTGGAGAGCATTCTTGGTCATTTCCCTCCCATCACATTACAGGTAGAATTCCATGTTTGCTTTCAGCTTGTCAACATTTCATTGTGTACACAGGTCTTCGGAGTTATAGCATGGAGTTTGGCCATTCTCTTGTTTCAATACGTTTTTCTCCGAATATTGGGCTATTTTTGCTGATTCCCATGGATTCCAAGGAGTTGTGCAGATGAGCGCTTACTCTCCATCTTTCCAAGAAGTTCTCCAACTGCCCACTATGTTAAATAGTGAGACAATAAAGATAAAATATGTCAGAAAATTAAAGGAATGTACATTTTTTAAACTAGGAAGTTAAGACTAGAAAAGATAACAGAAATGAGAAAAAGGATTAAAATTAACAATGATGAGACAGAATCCAAACAGAAAAATAAAGCTAAAGAATTAGATGAAAGTATAAAAAAAGAACTCAGAAACTAGGGGTAAAGGTATGGTAAAAAGATAAAATTAAATGGTGATAAAGGTTTAAAAGAACTAATACTTAAGTGTTTTTAAACAAAACTTAAAGATTTAAGGGCTAGAAAATAACATGTTAAAACAATGAATTAATCTTATTTCAAGATTAAAATAAACTAAAAGATAGATTGTAAGCTGTCAGAGGGGGGTTTGGAGGCTGGGTGAAAAAGCTGAAGGGATTAAACAACAATAAAAGCCCTGGCTGGTTGCTTAGTGGTTAGAGCATTGGCCCTCAGACCAAAGGATTGCAGGTTTGATTCCCAGGCAAGGGCACATACCTTGGCTTCAGTTTCAGGTTCGATCCCTGGCCTGGGTTGGGGCAAGTACAGGAAGCAACCAGTCGATGTGTGTGTGTGTCTCTCCCCCCCCCCACCTCCCTTCTACTCTCTCTAAAAATCAATGGAAAAAATATCCTCAGATAAGAATTAAAAACAAAACAAGACCTCATAGACACAAACAACAGTATGAGTATGGTGATTACCAGAGGGAAAGGTGGGGAAGAGGGGGTAAAAGAGGGTAAAGGGTAAAGTGGTGATGGAAGGAGACTTGACTTGGGGTGGTGAACACACAATACAATATATAGATGATTTATTATAAAATTGAACACCTGAAGCCTATATACTTTTATTAACTAATTAGAGGCCTGATGCACGAAATTCGTGCAAGGGGCTCAGGCCCACTGCCGCAGCAGCTGCCTTGGCCCTCTGCCGCCGCGGCTTCATCCAGAAGGTCATCCGGAAGGATGTCTGGTCTAATTAGCATATTATGCTTTTATTATTATAGATATCACCCCAATAAATTCAATAAAAAAGAAGTCATTATAAGGAGTTCCTTCTGACCAGTGTTATCTAAGGGTGCTTTTTATGTCCCATTTCTAAGTCACTGGGCTTTGTTTGCTTGCCTGTCTGTGGGCAGAGAAAGGAGCAGGCAGGCTTCAGGCTGCATGTCTCAGGGTATTCGTGTGTTACGAGCAGTTGTGTGTGAATCCACTGCTACCTGCTCTATGCCATTCCTCTCGAAATGTGGTTTTGGTCTACAGTGTTGTGGCCAGTGTAAGCCCGCTCTTTGGCTTTTCTTGGAAACTTTAACTGGAGATGAGGAGACAGTCTACGCGCCCCCACGAGGCTCCCGCTGGTGGTTCTCCGGAAGCCCTCTAGACAGAGCTACCCTTACGGGGTGAGGGTGCCTTTTCCTGGATGAGTCTGAGTTGGTTTAGATGCTCACTGACCTCCTTTTGCCCAAGAGCCCCTGACTGGACAGTGTGGGACTTCACTCAGGCTGAGGCCGTGGGGATGTGGACGGGCCTTCTCTCCGCAGCTTGCTCATGCAGAAGGGCGTGATGCGGGCTTGGTGGGACACTGGTGTTGGGAGTGCCTTGGCTTCCTGCCCCTCCCTGACTAATGGGGCTGGCCTCTGGGTACCAGCATCGGCCAGTGATCGGCCTGTCATTCTTCTCCGTTCTCAGTGCCTTTCCCATCCTTCTTCAGCACAGCGCTTCCGCCTCCAGGCCCACCGATGGATCCGCTGACGAAGGGGTCCTGCGGGGGCCAGGTCGCACAGACCCTTCTGTGGAAAGCAACGTCGTCTCTCTCCTTCCGCATCCAGCCCCTTCAGACGTGGCCAGCAACAGGCCCTGAAGCAGAGTCCCAGGTCACCCTGTAAGTAAGTAGAAGAACATCCTCTGTTTGGGCTCATGTTCACTGTCACCTGAAATCCCTCAGTGCTCAGGGAGGAAATGACCTTTTGGGGGGGAGAATAGGGAGGGAGAAGGAGTGGATATTGGTTTGGGAGATTTCAGGTTTTGTTCTTAATGATATCTTATTCATGTATTTATTCATGTATTTATTTATTTACTTACTTAACAATATTCATTGAGCACCTGCTCAGCCAGGCCCTATGTCAGCTGTAGTGAGCAAAACAGATTCGATTCCTGTGTTGAGGGCATTTACAGCTCATGGGACAGAATCAAATAACCACACAAATAAATGCTAACTAATTTGTGGTATGTGCTACAAAATGTGTTGCTTTGATTCAGTAAACCTTTACAGAATGTCTTATATAACATACTGGAGGTATAAGAGAATATGAGATTCCCTTATAGTATCTAGAGGGGGAAATCCAACATTATTCAGAAAAGTGGTAATAATAACTATGCTATAACTAATATGTTACTAGATTCTAAGCCCCATAGGGTGGTAACTATGGTTTCCTGTTTACTCCTGAATCCCCAGGGTTTTGTTATGGTGTGCAATAATATCTGTTAAATGAATGAATGAGTAAATGATTGAAGAAGGTAGTACAAGGCAGAGTGCTTAGCTCTCCAGGGGAATCAAAGGCAACTAGGTGCCGAGATATGATTGGCTTAAAAACAAATGAGACGTTTATGCATAGAGGCACAGTCCATGGACAGACAATAGTGCTGGGAAGGGCTGGGGAGAGGAAGGGAGCAGGATGGAAGGGGTTAATGGGGGGGTGTGGAAAGGGGGACATTTGTAATACTTTCAACAGTAAAACCAAATTAGACAAAAACAATGAGACGCTTCAGCAATTTAATGCAAGAAATATGTATGGATGCTCGCTGTACCCAGTGCTTTTGTGAAGCTAATTCCTCACGGGGGGCTTAAGACTCAACTGATGCCCGAGGCCCACCCCCAGATTCAGATTCAGATTCAGATTCAGTGGCTCTGGAGTGGGTGAAAGAGGACTCTTAGGACTCTACTTCAGGAACTTGTAGCCTTTCCTGGGAAACACAAGTAGCCCGATAATCCCTGTGCTCCCAGAAAAGAAGCGTGCACCCACTGCGGTCGGAGTAAGTAACCGCTGGAGGAGGGGGAGCAGAGGGGCCGCAGGTGAGCTTAGCTGGGCAGGATGCGAGTCACCAGGCAGGAGAGGGGGAAGAGGCCACTTTACACAGAGGGGACGGCGGAGCTAAGGCTGGGAGGCCTGAGCGTGTGCCCCGCAGTGTTGACAGGCATGGTGGCGGCGGTTGTCTGCCCGGCTGCACCTGAGAATCACCCTTGGGGCTTTAAAAACACACGGAAGCCTGCACCATCCCTCCAGGATCCCGAGGTCTAGGGTGGGACACAAATACCAAGATTTTATGAAGCCCCAGCTGATTCGCATGTGCAGATGTGGAGAAAGGCTGCTTTTAAAAATGTGACCGCACATAAAGAGATGCCTGGCTAAGAGGTCGGAACTTTATATCTTGGCAATGGGGAGCCATGGGGAGCTTTTATGATGTTACGAGATGATGCTGATTTAAATAGACAAGGTTCACAGAGTTCGGATAAATTCCAAATTGCTAGTTCTGCTGTGGATTGATTCCTCAGGGAAACTAGAGGACGTCTGGGGTCACCGCCGACTTTTCAGAACTACTGCCATACCGTCCACAAAGGGCCCCTGCGGTCTGTTTATGAGAATATGGGAATTGAATATTTTCTTGATTTGAAACTGAAATCTCAAATTTCAGTGAATATTGAATTTTCTGAGCAAAATGCTCCTGATTTTTGGAGGCCTCTGGTAACCAGAGTCCTGGGCAGTCCTGGCGCGCTGCAAGGGAGAGAAGGGACGCCAGGGCTTCATCTACCAAAGGTGGGGTGGGGAGAAGAGCAGCTCTCCCTTCCTCAGAGCACCAGGCAGAGGGTTACTGTCCTCACAGTGGTCCAGCCAGCACCACCTCTTCTCTAGACTACCAGCCCCATAATGCATCGCGCAGATGACACAATCCAGGAGGCGGGCAGAACGTCGGAAGAGCCTATAAGAAGCGGCCCAAGGTGGCACAATCTGGGCCGTATTGGTGAATCCTGTTCGGCCCTGGTGATTGGCGGCTGCGGATGTTAGGTTTAGGTTCTCTGGAAGACGTGCTGGAAAGATGGCTTTAAGAACTGCGATTCTGTGGACCACTCTTTCATTAACTAATTTATTCAACAAATATTTATTGATTACTTGCATACCGGGCATTTGCGCAAACATCCTAAATGCGTTTGCTTATTTAGTCTTCACACTCAAAAAAACAAAACCCGATGCGGTAGCTCCTGTTAGCTTCATTTTACAGATAAGGAAGCAAGCTGGGTGCAGAACGGTTAAGACTTGTCCAGGATCTGGTTGCCCACAGAGCTGTGTGTTACCTTCTCTCCTATTTCCATCTGGAAAAACCCACCTGAGTCTTCTAGAGACAGGTCTAAGCCCCATCTGCATTGGTCTCCCCTGCTGGAGATTGACAGTGGAGGCTGACACAGCAATTCCCCTGGCAGCCATGCAGGCAAGGGTCCGCCCCTCTACAGAGCGGACTGTTTGAGCTCCACGCTTGGGGGAAAGGAGTAGTAGTTGGAAGTGCATTGGGCTCTAGGGCTGTTTGCCAATGAAACTCTGACAGTGAGGAAATTTATATTTTGATTCCCATTTGCCCAACTCCTGTCACTAATTCCCAATCGATTCCAAACATAGAGAAGGGAGCAGATGATTGACTGATAAGCTCCCAAAACTCCAACAACTGTGAGCCAGGCAGGGATCTGTGTGGGTCTGGTTAGGAGAGGCTTGTTTGGTTTTGTTGGGTTTGATTCTCTTGTTCTCGCCTGTCTTAGCAGAGTACCTGGCATGTAGAAAGGGCTCACTAAATATATTTGTTGGGTGTAAGTTAAGGGTCATAGAGCAGAGATGCCAGTTAGAAGGCTTCTGCACCAAGGAAGGTCTGTGCTAAAGCAGAGAAAGTGAAAATGGAAAGGAGAGAAGGGACAAGGGACTCGGAGACCTTGTGGAATTCTGCACATGTCCTCGGGGCCAAATGGCACATGCAAGGTTGTGCATTGCAGTTTACTAGTCCTTTATCTAGGGAATTGGTTACATAAAATAGGGTCCATCTACTCAGTAGAATACAATGTGGCCATAAGAAAGAATACAGGAGCTTTTTGGTACTGATTTGGAAAGATCGCCAAGGTATATGAACTTAAAAATAACAAAAACAAGAAGTAGAGTTGTGCATGGTTTGCTGCCATTTGTGTAAAGTAAGGGGGGAGGGAAGGAATAGGTATTTCTCTTTCTTTGTAAACGCATCCAGCATCTTTGGGAGACACACGAACAGTCCAGGGGGGAGAGGAGGTGCAGAAGGGGAGGCTTTGCTGTGTTCAGCCTTTTAGTTTTGAATCAAGAGAGTGTGATCTGTCTTCAAAGAATGAAATACAAATACACCGATACAAACCTACTACAACTTTCAAAAGCAATGCTGTGCAGGCAGCAGTAACAGGGCCTGGCGACTGATTAGATGTTGGATGTGAGAGGAGACAGAGATGACTCTGGACTTGGTACCTTGAGCAACTGGGGAAAAGATGGCAGTTCTGCCAACTGAGATGCGAATGCAGCAGCGGGAGTGTGATCCGGGCCTGGTGATGTTTTAGGGGCTGCTCAGGTGTCCACGGAACTCTATCCAGCAGTTGGAAGTCTGAGTTTGCGGTTGGTTGGAGAGAAAGAGCCAAGTTGGAGGTTTGGTTTGAGCCTCGTTAGCACAGAGGTGCAGGAACAATGAGGTCCCCAGGGAGGGAGGCCACCTGACTGAAGGGAGAGGAATGTGGATCTTCGCAGGTCAAGGATGACGTGGACTCACAGGTGAGTGGGGGAGGAGCATGGGCGCTCTCTGCCAGAACATCCTGGCCCTTGGCTTGGAACAGAGGCTGCAGGTGCCCTGCTCACCACTGAGCTCCACATCCCCTCGAGGGATAATTGCTAAAAGCAATCATTTTTCCTCAAGGAGGTTATGCCATTACTAAGAATTGTATTCCTTTGATGATTCAAGTTTTCTATTCTTTGAAATTGTACAGTCCTCCTGGGCCAGCAACCCATTTTTGGTGCTCACCTCATCTCAAAGTACAGTACAGAACACCATAAGGACACACTATAAATAGAGCCTAGATATTATCACATTTTTAATCATTGCTTTTAAGAGGCAAAAGGAATTAGTTTAGGCCCTCCTGCCCTAAATTCACTTCGGCCAACACTCATTGTTATAAATCTCGTTTTGGCCGTGGAAGCAGGCTGGCTGTTTCTTGTCATCTCTCCTCTAATAATAAATGTTCTCAGTTAAGATACTTTGCCTCCTCTCTTTCTATACGTTTGGTTTATCTATTATTTTGCTTTCTTTAAAGAGCATCCCCCTCCCCTTCCCTCACCACTCTCCCTCACCCATGGTTTCATGGTCTCATTTTCTTAAACTATCTCAGAATCAGAGTAGCTGAGTGAAGTAAAAATTTTAGAAAATCTTTCAAAAATAGAGTTTGACCTCAAAAGCACAGAGCAAGCTGCTTTTCTTCTACTACGTGCTCGGCATGTGCTTGGAGGAACACAACACAGATAAGCATGGAATGGGTCTAAATTGGCCCAGAAAATTAGAATATGATACAGAGGTTGTTTAAAAAGTAGCTGGGCCGTCCCCCTCTACTGGGTTACCTCAAGGTGAAATTCAGTCAGTTCCATAGCATTTACTTTTATGTTTGAGACAAAGAATTTTTCACATGTTAGTACTGGCTATGAAGGGGATCGAAATATGCCACCTAAAAACCTGCCACTTTGGCCTAAGGATTATTTTGAGCTGAAGGCAATTGAGAAAAAGCAGACACAGGAAGACATCTCCACTCTGCCCCCATCTGCCTAAAAGCAGGGCAGACATTTCCTTTTGTAAAGGTGCCCCCCCCCCCCCCCCCCCCGTCCTGTACCAGGAGGAGGAGGACAGCACTGCCAGCAGAGAAAGAGGGCCACCAAGATGAGCCTTCATGCGCAAACCTCGCTAAACAACCCTCATAGGCCAGTAGTTGCCCCCAGGTGTTTACCTTCCATGATTACCACTCCTAGAAGCCCAAATCCTTTTCTTTTGTCTAGTCACTTCTCCACAGTTTATTGCCCTTTGTTAAAATGATATATAAATCCCAGTATTTAACTGCTTCTTTGGGTTTGCTTCTCTGTGGAGCGCTTGAACAGGTAAAATTAAAAATAAAATGTGTGCTCCTTTTCTCCCTTTAATCTGTCTTTTGTCATTTTAATTCACAGACCCCAGTCACAGAAACTAACAGGGTAGAGGAAAAGTTTTTCCTCCCCAACAACTATTTTACTAAAATGAGAACATTTTTTATTATGGCAAATTCTAGCTTACTCCTAACTTTTCACAAAAAGCCTTTTTTTCTTATTTGTGTTGTTCTTTAAGCACACAAATTTTCTTCCTAATAAGTGGTATGGATACACAACCTATATTTATTCAAGTAGTTATTGAATAAATATAAGTCCACCTATCATCTATCAGATACTTGAAAAATAGCTCTCTAGTCTCCACTTACACACTATTAGTGATAACAAACAGTATGTCCCAACGTCTTCCATTATTTCACCTTCAAATCCTATGTAAGGAGACAGGAAGACTGACAAGGCCGTATAAGAATCTGTGAAACAGTAAGGGCCCATGAGACGGAGGGACTGGGCTGGTCCAATGAGGGAGATGATCACTGATGATATTTGATGATTGATTGTAGAGTTTATAAGACAGGGAGAAGTCAGAGGTGATTCCGTAGTTTGGAGATTGTGAAAATAATTGTGCACCAACAAAAATGAGAAACCAAGTTTTTGAATGAGTTTTGAAAAAAACACATTGAGCTACTGGTGTTTCTGGGAGAATTAGGAAAGGTAAGTAAGGCCAGGGGGTATGTTTGAGATGCGTCAGTAATACTGATGCTATAGGACAGTGATGGCGAACCTATGACACGCGAACTCATTTTTTTGGTTGATTTTTCTTTGTTAAATGGCATTTAAATATATAAAATAAATATCAAAAATATACATATTTGTTTTACTATGGTTGCAAATATCAAAAAATTTCTATATGTGACATGGCACCAGAGTTAAGTTAGGGCTTTTCAAAATGCTGACACGCCGAGCTCAAAAGGTTCGCCATCACTGCTCTAGGAGTAGATAATTCCTTCAAAGGACAGCCATTGGGGAGCACTTCAGGTTTGGGAACAGAAGAATAAAGGATGGGCCCGTGAGGGGGACAGAGATGAGATGGGTCCCTGGGACTTGATAGAGGAGATACGCCCGTGCGCATCCAGCAGGTAGGAAGTGAGTGTGCCAGCATTTCTGAGGATTACCTTTAGAATTTATTTTTTTTTAAACTATAGGTGGTTAAGTCCCACTCCTGAAGATTCTGACTGAGGAAGTCTGGGTGAAAACTGGGCATTTATATACTTACATGAAAATGTATTAAGTAGACTTTAAAACTTCAGCAAGGAATGATAGGAAACTGTCTTTATGACATCATGATGCTGAAGGATGGTTTAAGTCAAAAAACAAAGACCATTAAAGAAAATGTCTGAAAAAACCTGCATTAGAATTTTAAAATGTCTACATGATGAAAGATGCCAGGAAAACCGTTTGAAAAAGAAAAACCACTCTCTGGAAGAAGACATCTGTAAAAAAAGGTTGACATTCAGCAGATACAAATTATTCCTGCAAATCGATTAGAAAAAAGACCAACAGCCTACAAAAGGGGGTAGGCAGAGGGTGGGATAGGCAGGTCACAGGCAAGGCAGCGCACATGGCCGAGAAGCATAGGAAAAGATGTGCAAGCCCTTGAGTTATCAGAGGAATGGAAATTCCAATGACAGCTCAGCAAGGTACCACTTCATGTCCCTCACACTGACAAAAACCAATTCCTGACAATCCCAAGTGTTGGTTAGGATATGGAGCAAATAGAACTCACGCTGCTGATGGGAGAGTTAA